TTCACAGAACGGAAGAGGGAGGTCTGGAGCCCAGCTACCTGGTCAGGTCTCACCACTCACTGTCCTGTCTGCCCTGACCGCTGTCTTCTCTCACGAGACTGCACAGAAACCTACCTTTGGCTATCATCTCGTGCTCCCTTCATGGGGATTTCCCAGGCCCCAGGCAGATAGGGGCCCTGTCCCCTCCTGGGTTGGCTGCTTGACCTCAAAAACCCTGCGGTGGTGTGGCAGGAGGAAGCCCTTGGCGGCTGGGCCCCTGCCACCCCGCACCTGCCCCAGTGTCCCGAGCTCAGATCTGCCCCGGCTTGCCCTCACGCACGAGGGTTTGAAAAGCCAGCATTGGCAGCAGGTGAGCAGGGGGCCTTCATCCTTGAAGGTGTTGGGGGAGGCAGGTGACTCGTTGTGCTCTGCTGGGTAGAAAGTTGCAGGCAGGGGCAGATCAGGGTCGTGGTGAGTGGGAGATTTTCAGCCCTGCAGGCAGGCAGGCTCGGTGCCAGGTAGGGGCTCAGGTGAGTCACGCTGCCAACAGTCACCTAAGACTGGGCACAGATGCCCTTTCGTCCAGGTGGGAGAGCCAGCCTCTTTGTGGCTCTTGATTGTAGCTGTCCCCTGGACTGACCTGGGTGTTACACACATTCAGCTGCTGAGCTGAGCTTCCTTCTACACGACGCTCCCAACAACCATGAGGCTTCAGGGACCAAAGGACACTCCTCCCTCATCTCAGGCCCCAGTGCAGGGGCAGCGTCCTAAGGTCTCAGGGGAGCCGAGAGGAATTAGATGCCTTTGAGCTCTTTGTGCTGGGGGTCAGGAAAGGGCCCCTGATGGTCTTGGTGGGGCTCAGGAGGGGTGGCAGATGTTGGCAGGGCAGGGGTAGGGGAGCCAGGGGAGAAGGGAGAGAGCGGCAAAGGCCAGGGATGGTGGAATGTCCACTGTTGGGAGCTGTTCTGGCCATGGAGCTAAGAAGCCAAGGTTGAAAGGGCTTCTGGTGGGTCAAAGGGTCTGGGTATGTATGGCTGAAGACTGCAGGGTGGGGCATTCCATCTGCCCAGGACATTCCCAGACCTGTAGTCCTGGAGAGAGAGAGGCAGCTGTCACAGCTGGTGGTGGAGGATGGGGGTCGGGGGGTGTGGCACTGTAGTGTAACTGCCCTTCGTCTTACATTTCCCTCTTCCCAATCCTATTCAGTTCCCAGGGCCCCTTACTCAGTCCCCATCGAGTGAGGGGGCGGCCCAGCTTCTCCCTAAAGTCATGTTCTTTTTTTTTTGGTTTTGGTACTGGGAATTGAACTCAGGACCTTGTGCTTGCCAGGCAGGTACTTATGCCATTGAGCTATAACCCTGGCCCTAAATTCATGTTCAAGCCTGTAGTCTGTGGAGCTAGAATGTGGGGTTCTAATTCTGGGCTGCTGGGCAAACTTCAGCAAATCTCTTACCCTCTCTGAGCTCTTATGATCTCCTCTGGAAACAAAATACCTACGTCTTAGGGTTGCTGGGAAGATTAAGTGAAAGGGTGGATATGAAGGGCCTGGTACTGACAGCGTCAGGCTCTAGAGGACAAGGCAGATGCTTCTTTAGGGTCAGCTTCTTGGGGATGGGCCCTGGCAAGAGTGGTCAAACAGCGCCTCATTTCCTCCCTATGTGTCCCCAGGCTTGGGAGTCAGCTGTTCCCTGCCTGAAGTCAAGATCTAAGGACACGGCACCCACACCCACAGGACAGGGGCTTCTAGTCTCCCGGCCCCACTCTTGGGTCCTAGCCCTTCTGGCTCTGATGGCCTCTGTGGCCCCCACAGGCCTGGAGGTCCCCTGGAGCACAGAGACCAGAAAGGGACTTTCCTAATCTTACTGGGACACAGCCTAGCTGTCTGGGAAGATGGAGAAATAGCACATTCCTCCCGAAATAATTGTCCTAGAGCTATTTCCAGCGGGCTCTGAGTGCCCAGGCCAGAAATGGCTGGTGATCTCCGTGCCTGGGTACCGTCAGGACAAACATCCCAGAGGCCCTGTCCTCTGCCTGGCTGTGTGCCTGCCGGCCTAGCCCCCAGCCCAGAGCCAACCTAAGCCCTGGCTCAGGCCCCAAAAAGGAACCATGGACACCATTTTCCTTGCTCACTGAGACCCACCCCCCATACTACTTTCTCTGTCTGGAGGAGCCCTCAGATCCCTCCTTTCCATGCCTTGTCTCAGCCTCTGTAGCTCCCCTACTCCAGGGCAAAGGCCCTTCAGGCTCTGTGGCTGTGTATGGGGGAGGCCTGGAGCAGGAGATCCTGCCAAAGTGTTTAGAAATCTTGGATCTGTTCATCAGGAAGCAGCGGATAAACCCGAACTGGAGAACATTCTCTAAAACAACTGGTCTGCACTCTTCACGGCAATCCATGCCATTAAAAACAAAGCAAGGCTGAGAACCTTCCAGACGGAGGGAGACTAAGGAGACATGAAAACTGAATGCAATGCCCCATCTTGAACTGGGTCCTGTACTGGAAAAATAGTTGCTATCAAATACAGTGGAGAGGCCATTGGTGACATTTGGATATGGACTGTCTGTTGGACTATATTTATTTATTTTTTTGTCTTTTTGAGACAGGGTCTTGCTATACAGTTCAGGCTGGCCTTGAGCTCACTTTGAACCCAGGCTGGCCTTGAGCTCTCAACGATCCTCCTGCCTCAGCCTCCCGAGTGCTGGGATTACAGGCGTGCACCACCACACCCGGCTGTCTGTTGGACTATAGTATTGTACCAATATTGAATATCCTGGGCTTGATCACGATAGTGTGTGTATGTTAGAATATCTCCTTGTTCTCCCAGGGAGTAAGCAGTACACGCTGAAGTCATCCTTGGTAAGAGATACTGCAATCGGCAAGCTTACTCATAAAACAAAAAGTCGGGGGGGGGGGTAGGTGGGTAGAGTGATAAATGTGGCCAAAATGTTAATAATTAATGGATTGGGGAGAAAAGCATATATAAGAGTTCATAAGTTTTCAAGAAGTTTGAGAATTTGTGAGAAGACTGGATTGTATGGGGTTGTTTGTTTATTTGCTTTGCAAGGCTGTGGACTGAGTCTAGGACCTCATGTACACTCGGTAAGTCCTCTACTACTGCCCCAAACTGTACTTTCAATGCTGAAGGAGGAATACGACGGAGAGATTTTCTGGAAAATATGACCAGACCTTGAAAGAGGATTTTATCCGTTCATTCATTCAACACACACATCTTTCATGGCCCCTACGGACAAGGTCCCAGAAAGGGGCTTGGAGTTCCAAAAGGAACACGGAGATTTGCTCCCTTGAGATTCTCAGGCTCTTACCAGAGTCCCACGCATAGTAGGTGCTCAACCCCGGACTGTTGGCTGCACTAGAAGAGGCAAGAAGAGAGGAAGGAAGTTGCTATCCCGTCTAAGAATGGGTCACCCAAAGGGAAAGCACTTGAAGGAGACTTGATAAATGTTTGGTGACCCAATGTAAAAAAAAAGGAGAGAGAGAGAAATTGATGCTGACCACAGCAAACAGGAGTTGTCTTTGAGCTAGCATAAAACTTCCTGGCTCGCAGCACAACCAAACACAAGAAAAACAACAAGGAGCATGGAAAACAGCCACCCCAGCCTCGTTTCAAAAATAGGGCCCATCTGTCCTGGCAGGCTTAAAGTGGCTCTGGCCCCAAGGCAGGGGCCTGGCCGGGCTGACCCCTGGAGGCCCCTCCCAGCTCTAGGATTCCGTGATTCTATGACATGGCCAGCAGTCTGGAGCGGCAGCATGCAGGGATCCCCAGTGGAGAACCAGAGGAGGTCCATGTCATCTACCTCCAAAGAGACACAGTGAGACAGCAGGCCCTGGGGGCAGACGGGGTCAGGCCTACCAGAAAGGGAAGGGTGGGGTCCCTGGCGCCAGCCCCAATCACCTCTTATATTTCTAGGGTAGGAGGAGGGTGGGGTTGATCCAGGAAAGGAAGAGGCCAGGGTCTGGATGTCCTGCCCATTTCAGACCCAAAGGACAAGGGCAGCTGAGAGGGGTCATAGGCTGGGAGAGGGGCAGGCAGCTGTTTCCTGGGTGGGGTGGGCTCAAATATGCCTCTGTTGGCACAAGGCCGTCACTGCAAAGAGGCTGCTGTGGTGTGGTAGGGGTAGAAGCCACCGCCTTCCTTCCAGCTGGGGTGGGGATGGGGATGGGGTTAGTATGGGGGGGGGCCAAGGAACAATGGGACGACATTGCCCTTGGCTGGGCCCAGGCAGGCCAGGAAGAGGAGGTGGACCACGAAGACCGAGAATCTCTTTGACGAGGAAACCAGGTCTTAGTTTCCTCGAAGTCCCCACTCTGGGCCCAGGAAGGGCAGGAAACCTGTAGCCCCTCCTCTGGTAGGGTGTGTGAGGAAGTCATGGACCACCCAAGAGGGTCAAAGCACACATCTTGGCAGGTCTTGTGCTCACAAATCCAGGGCCGGGGATATAACTCAGTGGCACAAATGCCTGCCTGGCAACTGCAAGGTCCTGAGTTCGATCCCCGGTACCAAAAAAAAAAGAAAATCTAGCTCCAAGAGTAGACTTGTATGCTACCTTCCCCACCCTCATGCAGAGTCCCTCAGTTAGGATCAACAGAGTTTGGGGGTCAGCTAGAGACCTCCATCGGGCTTCTCCCCACCTGTGTTCTCATCCAGGTGGTCAGGGCAGGTGTGGTGAGAATTCACCCTTAGCAGCCAAGGTCACCCTGCAATTATAGCATTGTTTCTTGGGGGTCATTAGATGACACCCCCAAGATGTCACCCTGGCCTTTACCTTGTGACTTACTGTGTGATCATAGGGTTGGCGCATCACCTCTCTGAACATCATTTTCCTCCATCTGCCAGCTGGGAATACGACACTCACTACCTCTTTGATCTGCGGTAGGAGTTCAGTGAGTTGAATCACACAAGATCCAAGTTGAAGGGCCGGGTACACAGCAAGCGTGCATGTGGTGTCGCTTCGGGAGCCAAGACATATTGTCGGTATCGGGGTACACTGCACAGCTGGTTAGCTGTTCCACAGCACCGAAGGCCTACCTCTGCCTGGGATTTCTCCATTAGAGATTCTAATCTTGGCTTTCGTGGTTTTCTGCAGTGCTTCCATCGAAAGTGATTGGGAATTTTAGAATGTGGGCTAAAACTAAAAAAAAAAAAGAAGACACTGGCAAGACAAGGGCTTGGGCCAGGCATCGTGGTGCACACCTGTAATCCTAGCACTCGGGAGGCTGAGGCAGGAGGATCATTGTGAGTTCAAGACCAGCCTGGGCTACAAAGTGAGCTCAAGGCCAGCCTGAGCTGCATAGTGAGATCCTGTCTCAAAAAGGCAAAAAAAAAAAAAAAAAAAAAAAAAAGGCGAGTTCTTGAGTTCAGTCTCTAGTATTGAAAGAGAAGCAAAGAGGAAAGGGGAGCGGAGGGGAGGGGTGGGGAGGAGAGAAGAGGGAGAGGGAGGGGTAGAGGGAGGGGGAGGGGGAGGAGAGAGGAAGAGCAAGAGAAGAGAAGGGAGTGGTGGTTCACACCTGTAATCCTAGCACTTGGGAGGCTGAGGCAGGAGGATTGCTATGCGTTTGAGGCCAGCCTGGGCTACATAGTGAGCAAGACCACCTCCCCTTTTCTAGATGGTCATCTGGCCTCAGTATTTCTGGGAGTCTTGACTTCTTCCCCATCTCTTGCCCTTCTCTTGTGCTCTCTGCAGAGGAAGGCATCCATTTTCCAGCTGGAGATCCCCGAGGCTGGGAGGAGGAGAGGGCGAGGAAACGGCTGTGCTGGACCTCTAGGGGCAGAGGGGACCCTGGAGGGAAAGCCCAGAGGGGGCTGGTGAGTTAACCAGGCTCTCTCTTGTCAGACCAGGTAACCAACCTCCAGACGCTGTCCCAGCTCAGCCGTCAGTGTGACCTGCACTGCTGGGACCATGTCCAGACGCCCGGTGAACCATTCAAACACTTACAGCCACGCGGGCCATCCGAACTATGCATCCTTCCCACCCCGAGTTCCAGGCTGGACCCAGGGCCGCAGCCTGAATGGGGTTAGCAGGGGCCCGTGTGCCCGCACCTGTAACGGCTTGGACTTTAGCACCTGCAGCAGCCGCTCAGAGCAGCCGTTGAACACTGCCTCCTCCTTCACGGGCCAACCCTACAACCCTAGGTTTGCAGAGACCAGTCACCTGTCGAGAGGACCCAAGGTGGCCAGAAAGCCCACTGATCACAGCAGCAGCCCCCACTACCTGCTCTGTACAGACCATCCTCCGGGCCCCTCCAACCCCAGCTTCCTGGACCAGCTCATCCAGAGTATCGGCTACCTGGACCGATCCACCAACGCCTTCTACAACTGCTCCCAAGCGCTGAGCCTGCCCAGGCTTGCAGCCAACTACCTGGAGCGAGCTGCCAATGCCCTCTACCAGGACACCCTGGAACATTCGTCCCACAGTTACTCCAGCCCCAGCGCCAGCCTGGCTGCCTCTGGCAGCTGCACCACCAGCACCTGTGTGATGCCTTCACCCAGGGGTGCAGAAGCCCTGCAGTGCCTGGCCCGATCCACCAGCATTGGCGGGCAGCATCCACCTCAGAGCCAGAGCTTCAGCCCTGTGCTGCCTCAGATGTTGGGTACCAAGCTGCCCGAGGTCCCTTTGTTTGGCAGCAGATTCTTAAGTCATCTGCCCAAGGTGTGGGAAGCCATCCGCTCAGGCTGGAGTGCCCCGGAGCCCAGCTCCAACCCGTCTTCCTGGTGGTGACCTGGTGGTACAAGGGGCACATGTCCATCAGGCTGTAGTTGTGGGAAATAAATTGTGGCAACATGCTCCTTCCAAGGTTCTGCTGGGGAAAATAACCATTCCAGTTGGGGGTTACAAACTCAAGGGCCACCGTGGTGCACTCCTGTAATCCCAGCACCCAGGAGGCTGAGGCAGGAGGATTGCTGTGAGTTCAAGGCCAGCCTGGGCTACATAGTGAGTTTGAGGCCAGACTGAGCTACATAGCGAGGGCCTGTCTCAAAAAAAAAACAAAAACAAAACAAAGAAAAACCTCAAGGGCCTCTGGGGACAAGAGTTGATGAATGAATTGGGCTGGTGGAGCAGGGAGTGGTGGTGAGTTTGGCTAGGTGAACACAGACTGCTTGGTTCATACTTGGCTCTTGAATGAGTCATCGTTTCCACAAGAAAAGCCAGGGATCTCAGGGCAGGGGATAGGGGAGGGGGTTCTAGGCTGGCCTTGAGCTCCCGGGTTCAAGTAATCCTCTTGTCTCAGCATTTTGAGTAGCTAGGACTACAGGTATGTACTACCACACCTGGCTTTGGGATCGGATTTTTATGTGTTAGTAACAAATTAAAGACTTGCAGGCTGAGTGTGAAGCCCATAGGTCTCAGTTAGTAATTAACTATGTCTATATCTATATCTATCTATATATAGTGTATATATATATAGATATATATGTAGATATATATCTATATATATAATTATATATATATATAATTTGGGGGGGTCTTTTTGAGATAAGGTCTCGCTTTTCAGTTCAGGCTGGCCTTGAGCTCACTTTGTAGCCCAAGCTGGTCCTGAACTCACAGTGATCCTCCTGCCTCAGCCTCCTGAGCACTGAGATTACAGGCACGTGCCACCAAGCCCAGCTCCTGGTTTATATTTTGAGTGGATCGCTGCAGAGGTTCTGAGACTCAGTTTCCCCATGTGAAGAAACAGACAAGTTGTCCATTCCCCATCCCTATTTGCACTTCTTTTTTTTTTTAGGCTGATTGTTCCAGACAGTCCCATATGCTCAAATGTAGACATAATAATAAGAAGAAGAATGACACACACACATATGGCAGCAACTTCTAAGTACCTTACACACATTTATTCTTCTTAAATTTAGTACTAGGAATCAAACCCAATTGAATCTCATACTAGGCAGGTGCTCTATCACTGAGCTATACCCCCAGCCTCTTTTTTTTTTAAGAGACAAGGTCTTGCTAAGTTACCCAGGCTGTCCTCAAACTTGTGATTCTCCTGCTTCAATCTCTAAGGTAGCTGGGAACAAGTATATATGTACTACTGAACCTGGCTTGTATTTATTCTTTTGTTTATTTGTTGTTTGTTTGTTTTCCAGTACCGGGAATTGAACTCACGACCTTGCGCTTGCCAGGCAGGTGCTGTGCCACTGAGTTAAATCCCCAGCCCCCTGTATTTATTCTTTTAAAGATGTGATTTTAATGACCATGGCCTAGAGTAGGCCCAAGAAACCCTAGCTAGTGTGAGAGGCATTGAACAGGCAACCAGATTGGCGTCAGGATGGGGGACAGCCCTTCCTGGGAGCTCTCTGCACTGAGGGCTTCCATCCAGGCCAGGTAAGACTGGGAGGGTTGGGACGAGGTGGACCCTTTTTCCCAGTACCTTAAGTTTCTTGCATGAATGCCTTGGAGAATGTTCCCTGGACTGCTGAGGATTAAGGTGCTGAGAAGCCCACAGGGCACCCAGCTGCCCACGACCCTGCTGCGCAAGGGACTCTGGAGACCTGGAGCCACCTAGCTCTCTCAGCTCCAGGCCTGTATTTCCCCATCTGTGAACTGGTGCAGAGCACTACATGCAGAGCTCTGATGCTTTCTAAGGGACCCCTGGGCTCTGATGTTTCTGAGTGTCTCCCCTTGGTCAGAAACCAGGCTTGGAGCATCCCAGTCTGATGATGGATCTTGCCCCCACCCCAAGAACCCTGGATTCTCTATCTGCAGCCACTTCCCAGGCTGCTCAGGGACATTTCAGCCCTCAGGGCCATTTCTACGTGGTTGCAACTTCAGACTTGGCCCCTGTTGCTGGAGCCCTACTGTCTCCTTGACGATGTGAAGGCCAATGGCAGCCCAGAGTGTGGAATGGGGCTGACCTTAAGATAATGCAGAACCTGGGGGCCCATAAGATTCTTCGGCACTTGAAGGCAGTGGCCTGTTAAGGTCTGTCCCCTGTGACCAAGCAGAGAAGGTGGCAGGCTTGAGTATCCCCCACGGGATCACCGCTGCGGTCCCAGGGTTGGCAGATGGAAGAGGGCACCAAACCGCTGGTCACTGAATTCTCTCTCCCACTAGTATTCCAAGGGAGAGCATCTGTGGGCCAAACTGAGCACACAGCACGCTCCTTCCTCAGCCCCTGGCCTGCCTCTCCTCCATAGGGAGAAGCCTGTGAGTCAACCCAATGGGTCCTCAGCTGTTCCTCTACCCCAGGTGAACTCACAGGAACACAGCTCTTTAGAATCCCCAAGCCTTCTGTCCAGCCACTCAACCCCCGTTCCTGCTCCAGGTCTGTGGGTACCTGGCTCTGCTAAGCACGTTCACTTCCAAAACAGTCCAGCTTCTCCAAGTAGAGTATAAGCCCGTTGGCCAGGGCACTGCTCTTGAGGTTGTTGACAGCTAACCCAGTCCTGCTCGCAACAGGGGCTCAATTTCTATGTCCATGGTGGTTACGGGGCCCTGCGCCCACCATGTATGCAGTAGTAGTAACTTCCATTACTCTAAGGATGAGTATCTACTTCATCCAATGGATACTTCAATAGCTAACAATATTAAAGAACCTAGCCAACGTTTATAAGTGCTTATCTACATGCCAGGCATTGTTTTAAGTCCTTTGGATTAATTTACTCATTTAATCCTCTAATCAACTCTTTAAGGAAAGTGCTACTGTCCCTATTTTTTCAGATGAGGAAACCATGGCAGAGAGGTCAGCTACAAATGGTTCCGAAAAAGAAAGTGCACAGGACATAGTGGCCCTTGAAAAATAGTCGGCGCTGTCATTATAGAGTATTACCTGCAAATGGGCGTCAATAATGATAACCTTCACGATAACACACTGGAGGCTCAGGGTATGACAGATGTGATTACAAGGCCTCAGCAAGGTTTGCCCATTGGTTGGGGATTAGATTGCAATGTGTAGACACACCTGGACCTCTGCCCTTGACCCAAACTCCTGCCAGGGATGGACAATCACAGCTCACAAATCCATTCCCCAGTTACTGAGCCTGAGTCCAGAGGAAAATAAGCCTGGTAGTTAGAGAAGCTCCTCTGTTCCATGCAGCTATGCAGAGGCCATCGGAAGTCCCCACACCACAGCCCCAGCCATGCATCTGCTGGGCCGGAGTAAACAGGAAGCAGCAAGCTGACTACAGAACAATGCCTTGGCCTACTCAGCTGTCTCTTTTGTGTACAGAAGTGGCTTAGGTGTCCCTGTGATTGGGGGTGGCCAAGGAAAGTCCTTCACACCTGCAGAAGGACATCATAGGTCATCAAGAACTCACATAGTGTGCCAGGCTTGCTGCCAAGGCATAAACACAGGCAATAAACTCTCGCCACCCTTGCAGGCTAGGTTTTTAGTAGCTCACTTTTGACGGGGGAAACTGAGGCTCAGAGAGACAGAGAGAGTGACTTGTCCAAATTTCTGCAGTTGGTAAATAGCAGAGCTGGGCTATGACTCTCAGCCAACGCCAGGATGGTCAAAGAGCCACTGTGCTCTGTACACTTTCTCAGCCATCTAAAGCGCAATATCTTTCATAATATTTATTGAACCGATTCTTTATTTTGGCCTCCAAAATATGCAGTAAATTCGACAAAGCAAGGATGGTGTTTGACCTGGAGGTTTGGGCTGCCCCTCACTACCAGTGCCCTAAGCAGGGAAAGTAAGTCTGAAATGGATGCTTTCTAGCAAGTAATAAACAAAGGGAGAAATTTTGTCAAAAGTCACCCATGAAGAGCCGGGCGTGGTGGCGCACACCTGTAATCCCAGCACTCAGGAGGTTGAGGCAGGAGGACCGTTGTGAGTTCGAGGCCAGCCTGGGCTACAAAGTGAGCTCAAGGTCAGCGTGAACTGCAGAGGGAGACCCTGTCTCAAAAGACAAAAAAAAAAAAGTCACCTATGGTGTCAACTGCCCACTCCAATGGTCGCTCATCATTTGGTATCATCTGGTATAGCAGCATGATACTGACATTGTTTTATGTGTTAAAGAAATCCATTATGGTCCTTTTCAAACAGGCAATTTATTATCACTGTGCTAGGATCCTATTTTTTATTTTTTTATTTTTTGTCATTTTGAGACAGGGTCATGCTCTGCAGCCAGGCTCTCCTCGAACTCGCAACGATCCTCCTGCTTCAGCCTCCCGAGTGCTGGGATTACAGGCGTGCGCCACCATGCCCAGCTGTCCTAGGATTCTAGAAAATAAGCAGTTTTGTTTGTTTGCAGTGGTGGGGATCAAACCCATGGCCTCACAGAGGCTAGGCATGTGCTCTACCACTGAGCTACACTGCTAACTCCTAAATGCAGCTTTCTGAGTTACCAAGGTGCGTGCATAAAAGACATGTTCTGTACCTAACCTTCACTCCACCCCAGCCTTCCCTCCCTTCTGAACCTGACTGTCTGAGCCTCTGCCCACCCATCCTTTACCCCCGCTCCCCAGCCGTGTGTCACTCCCTACTGCCTTTCCGCTTACAACCCTTGCTCCGCTGGCCCCACATAGGGAGAGTGAACCTGCTCCACCCGTACTGCACCCGCACTGCCTTTTCGGAGCTGAGACGGGCAGAGGCCTTGCACTGTGCCCGGAGTGGTCCCACCATTTTTGGCAAACTTTTCAACTTGAGCCCCTCCCGGCAGGGCAGGAATTTCTGGCGAACAATTGAACAAAGCCGGGAACTTGGAGGGAGAAGGCACAGGACATTCCAAAAGGATTTCTGTCTCGAGCTCCTAAAGACAACAGCAGAAAGCTTGTGGCCTGGTAAAGAAAATCATGAAAGAGATGGAAAATCTGCTCTGTAGGAAAAGCAGTGCGGGCCAGAGGAAGGAACA